AAAAGAGGAGATGATGAGGAAAGAGCTTAAAGGGCTGTGTGAAAACGGATCAGCGCTCACAGTGGATGCTTTTCTCTGTTCTTCTCTCAATCTTTTCAGAAAATCATAATTAAGCAAAGCTAATTACCAGACCTCCCTTGCTCCCTGAACTCTTCCTTTGTAAAGTTCCTGCGCTTTTGTCATCATCTTGTTTCCCTGCTGGCATCTTTCACACGGCCATACAAAACACTTCTGCCTGCGGTGACCTTTTCCATTAAGACACGGAAAAAGGACTTTAGAGATGTGTAAGACAAACTGTAGATTTTAGACTAGATTTTGACATTTTCTGAAGAAAACTGTAGTGCTGTTTGCCTGTGCAAAAGATGCCACCAAGAGTGTTGCGGGTGGCTTTCAGTGAGTTGATAATGTGTTGCAAGGTGGTTCCCTAATCATCCATGTAAAAAGAAACCACCTTCAAATATTTATGATATTATGATCTCTAGACATATGAAGATGCCACCTTCAGTGTTGACTGATGATTGACTGATTTATTTACTTTAAGAAATCAATACTGATATTCCACAAGGATGCATGATCAAAAGTAACAGTAAGGTATTTTATAATGTTACAAAAGATTCCTATTTCAAAAAAATACTGTTCTCTCAAAGAATTCTGAAAAAAAAGTATCACAGTTTGTATGAAAATATGCATCAACACTGAAAATAATAAGAACTGTTTCTTGAGCAGCAAATCAGCATATTAGAATGATTTCTGAAGGATCATGTGACACTGAAGACTGGAGTAATGATGCTGAAAATTCAGCTTTGCATCACAGGAATAAATTACATTTAAAAATATATTTAAATAGAAAACAGTTATTTTAAACGGTATTAATATTTCACAATTTTACTGTATTTTTGATCAAATAAATGCAGCATAAGCGATTTAAGCAAAACTTTATTTTCTCCTAGATGAAAATTATATGTTAGGTTGCTTAGAAAAACACAACTTCAATAAGCCTCATGGTTTTGGGTATTATCATGTCAACACAAACGGTTTAATCAAATCAAATCACAGGTAAGGAAAGTTATAATGTAAACTAAATACAATATCTGTTCTTGGTGCCAGAAATCTTGACTGACATGAGTGGACTTAAAGGGAAAAAAATTAAATAAAACGCTACTAAACTGCAGGATATAAAGTTTAAAATGCATTTATAAACTGTATTCTACTGAGACTGTGGTAGTAAGCATTTATAGTTATGTTAAACTGCCCAATACCAGGCAGGTGGCATTTAAGAGCTCTATAAAAAGAACCGCTATACTGGGCCTTTACACGTACAGCACCAACTGGCCTTAACTGCCATTTGAAACTGTGTCATAGATGGAAAGCAATCAAACATACACCAGAGGAGCACAAAGCCAGAGCTATGGCTATATCATTGCCAGAGTTTATGAATGTATGAAAACACATTTCACATACATATTTTCTTTGCCCTGAATTGCCAATATTTTAACCAATTGGTAGTAGTTCCACAAAGTGAAGGATTTAAAAAGCATTTGAAAAAGACAAACGCAGACTGGACTAATTTTATATGCACGATGGTAGGGTAATGATAATAATATTCATCAGGATTTTTTTTTTCAGTCACATCTGATTTGGCCATGGCAGTAATCTTCCAGACTTTAAATGGACTGTGCGTTCCCGTGCCGTTAAAGATTACGGTGTCTTTTATCTTCTATAAAAGTGGCATGAAAATGTAACGAGTGGCAAAAGCAATCCCATGTGTAAAATCCTTTGAATCTTCTCTCAGCGGCCCACGTCCAGCCTGCTGGCCACATAACCGTCACTGTACATTAAGCATATGTGGATGTTGACATAAAAAAAAAGACATACTGACACTAAAAGACATACTTATACTTTTTTTTTGAGTGGTTGCTCTAAGTGTTTTTTATATTGAAAAGAGGTTGCACATAGATGTTACAACATTGCTTTGTCTTTATGTAAGACATAAAGAACTAGAAATGTTCAATAAGAATTGCAATATTATATTCCTATTTGGAATGTAATATATGGAATATATCAAATATGTAATAAATATAAATAAAAAGTTAAAAAGACCAGCATTTTTTCAAAAAATAAATCTTTTGTAACAATAAGTCTGTTTCACTTTGTATCACTTTAACATATCCTTGCTGAATAAAAGTATTAATTTCTTTAAAATAAATAAATAAAAGTACTGACTCCTAACTTTTAAACAGTAGTGTATATTGCTATAACAGTTTTCTATTTTGAATTTATGTTGTTCTTTTTATCTTTTTTATTCATCTAAGAATCCTGAAAAAAAAGTATCACAGGTTCCAAAAATATATATAATAATAATAAAAAAAGTATTTTCCAACATTGGCAGCATATAAGAATGATTTCTGAAGGATCTGTAGACTGTAGTAATGGCTGATGAAAATTCAGCATTGCCACCGCAGGAATAAATTCTATTTTTAAGTATATTAATATGTATATTAATATTTCAAAATACTACTGTTCTTACTGTATTTTTGATCAAATAAATGCATTCTTAATGAGCATACGCGACCTCTATAAAAAAATACTATCCCAAACATTTGAGCAGTAGTATATATATAAACATAATAATTCTAAAATGGTTTTTAGAATAAAAAAAAACAATTAACGACATTATATATGACGATTTTAATGACATTATATATGTACATAGTTGTTTGTTGTTGCAAAATAAACTCCAGTTTATCAAGACACCAATGTCTTGATAAAATGCAATATGAAAATTACATTTGAAAATTGTAATTTCACAGTCATATATGAAAATTACTCAGAATATAATGAACTGAATGTATACATATTAATTAATATCCAGTTCTCAACTCCCAAGCTAATCTAGGAACATCTCTCAGAGCTCCTCTAACGCTGTGAGGTCTGTTAGATCTCTGTAAAAACCCCTCAACTATCAATCCCACTCAGTTTAACCTCAAATATGCTGCCCATGCAATGGATCCACACAGTTGAGTAAAGCTTTCGGATAAAGTAACGCTGTTGTGATTCTGCTTGATCCATCAGGCTTAGCGATGGGTGAGATGCCTCATGCAACGATGCAAAAGATGTACTTTCTTTTTCTCTGAGATTCTGTGGGAAAATAATGCTAATTTATCTCGGCAAGCCTCCGCAGTCACTCGATCCACACGGCAAGAGTCAATGGAGGAACAAAGAGGAGATGAGAACAGAGCAAACAAACAGACAGCGGAGAAACACGGCTGTCTGCCGGACTTGTCAAGTCCTACTGTCCAGGAACGCCTGGATTGGTCTTTAGCATCGATTGACGGAGGCCAACTGGGGTCTGGATGAGAGGTGAAGATCGATTTACGTCTTCAAGTGTCAAATACACTGCACTACTGAGTGAAATGAAAGAGAAAGCACAGAAAGAGGAGAGAGGCTAACAAATGTTTTTTTTCAAAAAATTAACTGTGAGGAAAAATATAAGTTTTTCCCACTCCAGACAGCAAGTGAAAAGTGAGAACAGTTTTTGCCAACATAAAATCAAAATGTACCATTTTTACTTATTCTGTTGACCCTACTAAAGTAAGTTCTGAAACAGAAACAAATTATTCAATGAGAAAAAACAGTAGTGATTACATAACAGAATGGAGGACTTGTGGGATCAGCCGAAAAGTCATTTAAAATAAAATCTGAAATGAATAAATTAAGCATAAATAACTTTATTTCAGCTAGTTACACCAAGGCAACATTTCTCATTTAGTTTAACTATAGACTTATAATACTATAGACTATAATACTATAAACTACTAAAAATGTCAAAAACACAAAACTACTACATCTTTAACTAAAATTCAAATATATATACATTTAATATTAAAAATAATATTACAAAATATAATAGTAGTGATAATACTAAAATAAAACTGGGGCACAACAAAACTGGAAATGTAAACTAAGAAAATAAACCTAGTGATCCTGGTCTTACTGTGCATGATGCATCAGTTTATATTGCTCTACATGTTTTCATAATCTTCATCAAAATGTAATAATGTTGTCCACCTATGAAACAATTTTGTTTCTGCTGTTATAATCCACTTGGGTGAAGCCAAAAAATATTAATAAATAACATAGCCTATATATCCTGATCCAATCAAATCCCAAAAGGATAAGACCCAGCCCTGTCCTACATTGTTTCCCACTGAATATTCAGTCTCACCTGGAAATTCGTCCCATTATGAAAGTCAAATGCAATTTCTTGTCGCTTTTAAGCAGTAGTGTAGAAAGAATGAGGGTAAAATAATCTGACAAGACCAGGACCAATGAGCCCAGATTTAAGTGTGTCCCATTTACCTGTAAACTCTCCCTTTTTTCCCCTGAATTACCTGTCTTCACTTCCATCCCTATTGCATGTGGTGTTCATCCTTTTCTGCCCTTCTCAGTTTTCTTCGCTGTATAAATCTCTCTTTTTTCAGCCCTGCTCTTCAAGCTCTTTCAATTTGTCATTTTCTCTCTCCAGCACCTTTTCTCCTCTGTGATGAGCAGTAAAACGTCTCCTGGTCGTTGCAGCTGTTGTGCTGAGAGCTCAACTCAGCAGAAACACAGGTCCAGAGGAGAGCAGTAGAGCACGACTCAGCACTTCCTCAATCATCCCCCCACAGACCCTCTAACCACACACAAACACTCACACACGGACAGACATATCACACCTGCCAACGTGGACTGCACAAAATAAGTAAGCAATAATAGATAAATATCAATCCAATTGCTCTAATCGCATTAAAAAGAAAACATCACTATCAAAAGCATCATGCATATATCATAGATATTTGATATATCCCCGTCCACATGTATGCTATAGAAAATATACTCACACAGCCACATGTGCACAACACACACACACATACTCACACACAGATCAGAAGACACATTTGCATACAATGTGTTTGCATACAAACTCTCATTCACACACCTGCACATAAACACAGTCATACCTGGAAGGGTCCGCTCGGATAGATCTCAGCATCCGCCTTCCTCCATTCGGGCCCCTGGTGTCCGGAGAGAGACCAGACGGCAGAATCTACAGTGGCGATGCTCTTCACCCTCGTGAGAACATTGAGTGTACCTGCAGACGCACAGAAAACAGAGGTCAGCGGAACTGTGACACTTGGGCTATACAAGCACTTCTGCAGATGGCATATTACTTTTGACTATTGGTCGACTTTGCAGTCTGGCCATAAAAATGCAAATATAAGCATAATATAACTTCATGATGACAAATGAGACATGCACAACATTTCTGAAATCCTTTATCTACACACGTACTCACAAATCAGCACAGAAAACAGTAGATCAGCTATTTGAGAATTTTCATAATCATAATAAATCAGACTGGACCTTGTGAATCTGAGATGGAACTTAATTTCTTACAAACAAAAAAATAGTGGCAACAATGGCATGTTCTTTTAACACCCCAGAAAAAAAGTTATTTTAGCACTCCAGAAAATGTACTGTATGTGAAATTCAAACAACGTTTCCAAACAATTACTGCAGATCAAGGTCCATCAGGATCAGTGAATCAGGACAAACTCAGGATTTGACACATGTTATGACAGAACATTGCTTCTGCTCTAATAAGACCTCATTGACCCGCCGCTGGTGTGAGTAGATAGTAGTAAACTTTACTACTGTGACAAATATAAGGTCAAATACATGACTGTTGATCTAACACGACCAAGTCTCACAGCAAACTGTAAAAAAATTTTTTTTTTTCAAATCTGCAAATAAAACAAAGCTTATGTTTTACAAGAAAATACTATTTCAGTCTTTTTGTTTTGAAATTTCATGTTTAAGTCAATGTGTTGCTTTCCATTTCAAGTAATTAATTGTGAAATTTTCTAGCAATTTGCTAGTGAAAATTGTTTCCACCATTTTTTAGAGCAGAACGCACTGGTACGGTTTGAAATATGAAATAAAAATGAAGCAATACAGTACACTGTAAAAATAGATTTTTTTTCATCATTGGAGTATGTTTTTCAAGAAAATACTAGTTCAGTCTTTTTACTTTAAAATACCATGTTCAATTCAATGTGTTACTTGCCATTTCTTTCTAATTATTTCTTAAATGTACTACCAAATTCTGAGTATAAAAAAAATTGTGACGTAAAATATTACTTGAAATTGGGTATTTAAACATTCTGCTGCTGAAATTTTGTTTTACTTTTATTTTTTAAGCTTTAGAATTTTTGAATTATGCATTTGAGAATGTGTATTCAACAACCTGTTACACGTTGTACTCTACTATGAACCATAGGCATAACTTTATAATAACTTTGCTTAACACTCATAAAATACATAATGTTCATCAGATCATTAAAAGTGCAGTGCTGCTCAAAGTCACAACTAAAAACTGCTTGTCTTGAAAATCCAGGATGTGCCATCATGATAAATTGATCTATATTCATCAGACAATCTGTGGGTTTGTAGTCTGAGACTGATGTGTGATAGATCAGCTCCAGAAACACAACTCTCCACAGACAACAAAGCAGAGGCATCTTACACACACACAGCGTTTATTATGAACGTCATTATTGAAATCTGTCACAGACACTGAACACAAGTACACACACACACAGATGATTGAAGGCACTGAGGCCAAGTGGCACCTTTATGACTAATGCATTAAATTATTACTCTGACTTTGTGCTTAAGGGAAACCAATATATAATTCAGTTGCACTTTGGAACAGAAAGTTAGGGAGAAAGAAACAGAGTGAGAGAGAGAGAGAGAGAGAGAGAGAGAGAGATAACAACTTTTGTAGTGGCTCAAATGAAGCATTGGCTCTGAACAATAATACACACACACACACACACACATATTCATATACAGTATACAGTATATATATATATATACTATATATATATACACCGTATATACCGTATATACTGTATATATATTCACTTTGTTTCAAAACTTGAGTCTATATGCTGCTCATTACATGCACTCATAGATAAATGCAGACAGGTCCAGCCAACTAACCAGGCTTCACATCTTTACTTATTCAGGAACAGCAGATATAAATGAATAACACAGCAGAGAAGTGGCACACAGCAACATTAACAAAGCAAACAGATGGTACTGTGACAAAGTGGATCGCTCAAAGTACAAAACAAGTCTTAATAAACTCAGCTAAAGCTGTCTGAGCAATATCAGCAGATACTGACCGCCAATACATCAGTTCAGACACAGCTACATAATTAATTTCAGTATAGAGCCTTAGACAGCTAATTCTTATTTAAAGCTAATGTTGCTTTCTGTCAACTTTCTCCTATCTCATACATTTGTAGTGCTGTAAGACATTGTGGCATTATGAACATGTGAATGACCTGATGTGTCATCGCTTTAACCAACGCCGTGAATTTAGGATGGGATCAGCTGTTTGTCCAAATAATGGTACCCACAATTTGAAAAATATATGCACTACCATTCAAAAGTTTGGGGTAAGATTTTTATGTTTTTGAAAGAAGTCTCTTATGCTCACCATGGCTGCACTTTTTATGCAGTAAAAACAGTAATATTGTGAAATATTATTACAATTTAAAATATTTTTTTTATTATGCATATTAAAATGTAACTTATTTCTGTGATGTAAAGCTGAATTTTCAGCATCATTACTCCAGTCACAATTACTCCAGGAACAATTGTGCTGCTTAATATTTTTGTATGAATACAAAGTTTAAAAGGACAGCATTTATTTAAAAAAAGGTTTTGAACAAAATTATGAATGGTATTGTTTTCTACTGGTATACCACTTCTCTCAATCCATATTTTGAAAGGACTTTTACAGAAAATAATGCATTAATGTCATTAATTAGCTTATTTATATTTACATTGATTCATTTAGCAAACACTTCTATCTAAAGATATATACAAATGAGGGACATCATAATATTTCTAGTCCAATCCTTACTTTCTTACTTTAAGTTTTGAGGAATGTCTTGTATAAATGTCAAAAAAGTTTCATTGTGACCTTAAATTTTCAAATTTACCTTTAGACTCAAACACTCTTTTTGGTAGCAATATGAATGTTTCATTTTGAGCTAGAAAGCCATTTGTATTGTACAAGGTCATACATCTGAATAATGCCATTATAACACTAACAAAACAAAAATTATAATACTAATAACCTCTAACACAAAAGTAGCATGGTATAACAATGTGTTTTTTGACACCATCTGGAGTAACCGTTCAGTACCATAGTATACTGTACTATACCATTACTACACATCACTGTATGCTGTACCGTGACCATTTTTGTTGTTATTGTTGTTTAAAAGGGAAAGTCACTATAATAGTGTCAGCATGTGTCATTACTGTTCAGGTATTACAGTAATAAGAGCAATTTGAGGAAAATCAGGAGCCTTTAACAGGAACGGCGTGCTGTATCAGAGCCTCACTGTTAGCTCGCTGCCCAGGCTAAAAGCATCCGCCACGTTTCAATGACCCCAATCACACTGAAGAGCTGCTCACTGGCTGTTAAACAAACACAAATTGTGTGCTGGTGCATCTTTAAGGTGATTACACACACTTAACTCGTAAACCGTAGTGAACAATGAGCAGGCACTTAAAAATAAACAGCTAACCAACCCTTTAAAAGAAACAATCATGGTTGTGTACTGTATGTAAGGACAGGCTGCAGTAAAGGCCTAAGGCCCCAATCGGACCCCTGTGCTGCCAGAGAACGACAACATCAGAGGCCCTTGGCTAACCTTGACACAGGTCAAACACATCCAAACACTCATTCATCTCTGTAATGAGCAGAATATGGAGGTTGAGTGGGAAAGTTGGACATGGCAGGCAATTTAAAGCACACACAAACCATGTGTGGTACAGAGTGCTCTTTCTGTGCTGTTTGTTTTCTTGAAAGCGTTTTAAATCTTTAAGCTATACTTTCATTAAATATTTCAGTTAGTCAATATATATATATATATATATATATATATATATATATATAGCCCATGCCCATTAAATATACTGCTGGATCTTTAATGTTTTGGGCCTATTTTTCTGCCGGAGGTCCTGGACCTCTTGTTCAGGTACATGGCATCATGGATTCTATCAATTACCAACAGATAAAAAATCTGAACCTGACTGCCTCTGTTAGAAATCTTATAATGGGCCATGTTTAGATCTTCCATCAGGACAATGATCCTTCTGGATCCTTCAAAATGAAGCTTCTGCCATGGCAATCCAAGTCCTCTGACCTGAACCCTATAGAAAATGAATGGGGTGAACTGAAGAGAAGCACCACCAACATTGAGCTGGGAGTCTGAAGGATCTGGAGAGATTCTGAATGAAGGACTGGTCTCTGATCTCATGTCAGTGAGATTTTCACCCCACTTTCTATTGTTTTACTTCAATGATATGTTAGAATTTTGTGAATTGTTTGAATGAAAGAGCAAAAGGATAAACGATGCAGATTTATTTTCACAGACACCTTTGCTCATATTTACCAAGGGTGCCAATATTAGTGGAGGACTAGTTTCCTTTTAATAAACCTACTAAAACACACACAGACACACAAACATAAAATGATTAAGACTTATACTAAAATGAAACCTCATTCAAAATAATTATTAATAATAATACTTACAATAATACTATATTAAACATACTAAAATAACATTGTTTGAAAGCAGCTAGCTGTAAATTATCCCTTACATATTTGACTGCAGAAGGCTATGATTAACCAATCAGAGTCAAGTATTCCTGAGAGACGAAAGACAATGAATACAGGCTGTCTAAACAAACGAGCCATTCATTCTTGTACCATATAAAGTGTGTGCATCACTAAATCACGACAATGACTGAAGAAACACATTGTGAAGTGCCGCTGTCATCCTGTAACAGCAGTAGGGTCACACTCTGATGCTTTAATGAGTGAAGGATCTAATGGACTGACTGCTGCTGTGATTGACTTCTGCTCTAATGGATCCACTGGCTGCTGAACTACTTTGTAATGAACTTAAAGCCTAATAACCTTGCAGTCTAATAGAACATGCTATTGTGTTGCTCTTGATGAAAAATTGAACAGACTACTAGGGTGATCGCCTAGTCTTTACAGTG